ATTTTTTTAGGTCTATTTTCATTTCACTGAATGAACAATAAAAATTTCATAATAATTTTTTCACATGATGAATACAAACGTATTTGAAACAATATTTTAAATCATAATTTTTAATGAAAAAATAATGTAAACAATATTTTTATATCAGTTTTCACGGATTTGTATTTTTTTATGGTTCTCATTTGATTATCGTTCTATATATATTGAATAAATGTAAAAGTTCAAAAATTATTATAGTTACTTTACGTACGACTTCATGTTTCAATTCAATAAAATATATACCTGTAGATTTACAAACAGAAAAAGAAATTCAAAACAAATGTTATATATAATTATGCTTTTAATGGAACAAACTATATAAAAACAAATTTCTATTCTCGGTACCCATGTCGATATTTATTTTTCAATTTTTTAACTGGATCTTCAAAAAAATCGATCACGTGTATATTCATACTTGAGTATGTTCACACTAATATCTTCAGCCCGTTTTTGTTCTCTTTTATAAAACATTTACATCATGTGCTTAAAACTTTTTAATTTCTTTTTTACAATTTAAAAATACAGACATACAACTTTCTAAAATTTCTATTTTTGTCTACGTGCTTTTGAATTGTAGTTTTCTTCCAAATGGTTCACAATGCATTGATTTTTTCCTCTATGTGATTCATATATCATTATTATTTTGGTCTTTCATACTGAACACCAAACTGCATTGACGAAGTTAGCCTCGGGGATGAAAACAACAACGAATTACAAAACCACAAAAAAAAAAACCGTAATTTCGAAAGCACAAAGACTAAAGTCTCAATTTTTAACAAATTACGGGGATGAAATTAGAGAGAAGGATGATAGAAACATGGAACGTGATTGATGGTTAAAATTCATGATTAACTTGAGAGTCGAGATCGGATCATATTGCATTACACGAGTATATTATAAGTAGAATTTTAATGTAATTAGCATTTAACCATAACTATTTAGTCGATTTAGAAGTTAACATTAAATTTGTATTATATAAAACATAAATTATGTGTTTGTAGCATAAAGAGAATTTAATTAATGTAGGGGATAAGTTTAGGTTGATCAAAAAATTTATGTGGCTTAAAGACTAATGGTATTAATGGATGTAGCACTGCATAAGGGTATGAGTAGCATCACAAAAATCAAGGAATATAATTAATACAATGTCATATCCAAATCCTAAGTTGTATATACTTTATAACATAATTAATAACTTTAATTATATCTTTTGATGAATTCCAAAGTTATAAAAATTTATTATCTAATTAATAAATGTTTTTCTATTAATTGTTTTTAAAAAATT